TGATTATCTATTATAAAATATAATCAATAACTTTGAAAGTTCACTCAACCCCCATGTCCCATGAGATGCCAAATCCAAAAACGTAAACAAGTTACTGTTGAGTTGATGCCCACAGTCCCATGTGTGTCAGAGTAGAACCGTGTTCTGCAAGGTTTTCCATGACAGATTTTTGGGGAAGCAGATTGCCAGATCTTACTTCCAATGCACTTTGGGGGTACATTCGAACTGCCAACCTTTCTTGGCTAGAGCTGAGCACATTTGCGTCAGGCCAGGGGCTCCCATTCTAAGGCAGACAATGTGCGTTATTTAACATCAGTTTTCTTGCCCAGGGTCCTTTTGAGTGCTGCCTGAACAGTTCTTGGTGGTGGTTGTTTAAAGCAGGTCTGGGTCTCTGTGAGTTTGGGGTTTATTTTAGAGTTAGAGAAGGGATGTTGGCAGTCTTGCAAAGACCTAGGGTTTCCAGACTTTATTTTCTGGGTAGAAAACAATTCCAGAGCAATAGCTTTCTGCCAACACTTCACAGACTGCCTGAAGTTTTTGATGTGACACTTACAGGGGTCTCTGGGATTTGTGACAACCCATGTGTCTGTGGAAGATGTCTTCAGTTGTTTTTGTAGAACAGTTTCTCTAAGACTTAGGTTGTCATGTTGTACCCAAGCTACTGGAGAACTAGCATTTTATGAACATCTGCAAGGATCCAAATGTGTCACGTGCCGAATTCCACATGAAAGCAAGTAACAGAGCCAACTGTATTCAGCTAAGGTCTCTAACCATGTCATTTTAACCTAAAAGAGACTCTGCAAATGTCAGTTGTACAAAAAATAACGTGTGGGGGACTTTCTATTTTTTCCTTTCCAGATTCGGGCCTGTGAGTAACACAGGCAGGTACTGCAGAAGTGGTTTGTTTGGCTGACTCACTCAGGGCAATTCATGTGGTCTTTACAATCGTATCAGTCCACATGATGGTCAGCAGTCAGGAAGGCTTCAAGATGTCCTCTGTTAAATAAATGGGCTTAAAAACAGCTCCATTCAAAAGCACCATTAATGTAAATTCCCTTGCCAGAGAATCCAAGTTTGCTTCCATGCTTTTAAATAGAGCTTTTATTGTTGATTTGTTTTGCTTAGGAATATGGATACAGAGCATTTCGAAAATACCCAAACGAGTCGCGATCACTCCCAGCTCCGCCTTTCCTTCCCACTTGGCTGCCTAACTTGCTCAGATTGATTAATCTTTGGACACTGTGGTCCCATCCCCAAATCCAGGGTACTTGGCTCATGAAGGTCTTGTGAGGGTGGGACAAGACATAAACATGACAAGCTTAGCGTGGTCTCTGCCTGTGTAGGTACTAGACAAGGCAGCTATTGTTTTATTATTGAGGAAATTCTCCATTGCTTGTTGGTTACAAGCAACTTTCCACTGAGCAATTTTGTACACTTGCTGACTGCTGCCTTTGGATAAGGATTTCTAGATATGGATCTGGTAGGACAAAGATTTTTTGTTTTTATTTGTCCTAGTTACGTACCAGAAATGGTCCTACCTTATATTTCTACTCCAGGTAGTAATCATTTTATTAAATAAGACAAAAATATATATATACTGTAATAAAAGAAAAAAGTAAGACTTAAAACAGTAGCACTAAGATGTCCTAATGTCATTGTAGTTGTTGCTTCATGCCGTTGACTCAGTTCCAACTCATTTGTTGTTGTTATTAAGTACCATTGAGTCAGTTCCAAACCATAGCAACCCGGTATAGGGTTTCCAAGGAGCAGTTGGTGAGCTTGAACTGGTGACCTTGTGGTTCAAACTGACTTTGCAGCCCAGCGCATTAGCTCACAGTGCCACACCAGGATTCCTT